TATATATAGTTTAATTTGTCTATGAGTTGTATGGAAGGATGAATATATATATATATATATATATATATATATATATATATGTATGTATGTATGTATATTGATTTTAAATAATCAAGGATTATTAAAGAAGGTGTTAAACACATATATACATTAAATAACATATGTGTAGGTATATATATATATAAATCATTTAAGATGATTAATATTATCATTCTTATTTGGCATATCTTAATAGGCTGGTTGTTAAATTAATGATATGCGTATAATATGCATGTGATGGCTATGTATGATTTAGCGTATTGTTAATTTTAAAGTTAATTCATGGTTAAAGTGTGGGCATGGATGAATTGTCAAATGATTAAATATATTACCTAAATATTTGTATGAATAGAATACATATATGGAAAGTATGGATGAATTGCTAATTAAATGTATGAATAAATATACCTGTGGAGGCATGGTTGAATTGCCAATGTATAAATATACATACACGGAGGCATGGTTGAATTGCCAATGTATAAATAAATATACTTATGGAGGCATGGTTGAATTGTCAATATATAAATAAAAATATTTGTAACGGCATGGTTGATTTGCCAAAGCATAATTACGTTATTATGTGTTAGATGATTAAAATATCATCTATGGTTGTTGTATGTATGGATTGGATTAGGGTTAGATATTCTTAAATGAGAATAGTTTAGTACTTACTGGTTAGTGTATTATTTTACATTAATAAAATAATATTGGGGAAGACGTGGATGATTTGTCAAAACTTGGATTTTGGATATGTGATTTAAACAATTAAAATCATTATCGGGTTGGGATTAAATAGAGTATTTCTTTTATTATAATTTGTTGTTTAAATGATTAAACAACTGACTAGGATGGGATTAAGGTCAAAGGAGTTTTTATAAAATGAAATGGTAGATTGGTCTAGGTATGAATATTATTTTAATAATTATTTAATAGGTATGGAAATTTAATAAACCTAATAATGGATGTGATTAGTATAGTATATATAATTATATATAGACATGTATATCGTGCTTTATTAAAGTTAAAACTTTATTATGTTTGGTTTTGATCAGAGATGATCTGCTTATTGGTTTTCAGAGGCCTGGTAAAGTGAACTTGCTCGTAGGGTTTAACCCACGATTTATTTTTTAGGTTATTAGAGGTTCCAGTCTCGAGGTTGAGGATCCGCAGCTGGGAGACTGTCATTCGTCTATTCATCTTGTGTACTTTTAAATAGTATTGGATTATTGGATAATGTTTTAAGGGGTCCTTGAGTTATGGGATTTCCGAATTGTAATTGTTGGAGAATCATTAAGTAATATTTATTTATTAGTTTTCTTCAGCGGTTTATTTATTCTTTATTATTCATCTTTGTATTCTGTGCTTGTTAAATACTTAAATTGTTTTGATATCCCTTGATTTTGTGCGCGGAGTTGATCAATCCGTGTTCCAAAATTAGGGGGTATCACATGTAGTCCAGTGAGAGTCCTTTAGTGTGACTATATATATATTTACGGACTATCAGCTATTGTTGAATTGTTTAGGATGTACATGCGTATCGGGCCTCTGTTTGGATTGTAGTAGTATAGAACTTGCGCGTAAGCCTGATCCACTTCTATTTTTTTCAAGTACACGACAGTTCCAGGCTTAGACGTGTTCGTGCTGAGCAGAGGCCTCTATTTACTCTTCCGACGATGTAGGGCTCTCTCTATAGTTTTATTTCTGGACGTTTATTACAGTTGTTCTATCTTCCGTTTGGATGTTTAATAGGGGTCCACTAGAGATGGATTCCCAAGTTGTAAACTGATGGAGTTTTGGAGTTTGGGTTTGATGGATTCTAATAATTATAATATTTTGCGGATTCTATTTTTAATTCCTTCCAGCTTTAATTTCATTTCTTAATTTATTTTGTATTCCGTGTTTATTATAAAATATTAATTGTTTGATATTCCCTCGGGTTTGGGCCTGAGCCTGATCAACCCGTGTCTCGGATCCAGGGGTATCACAAAACGCTTAAACCTACCCTAATGGATTAAATGATGGATTGAAAAATATTGAATCCAAATTGTGATTGAGTCAGATCAACTGCGACTAAGTTGAATGGTTTCCTAGATTAATGGATGGTAGTTAAGTTATATCAACTGAATAAGTTGAGTGACTAACTAGTTTGTATATTGTATGTCATCTCAATAAGTATTTGAATGACATACCCTGGTTTTGGACGGACTTTATATATATCTTTACGGTACCACGAGATGAGCTTGAGTCTCAGACTCGTTGGTTAGGGTGCGTATATGCAGTGGATGCGTAGCTGGTTAAAGTAGGTTGAGGTGTACCCTGTTAGGTCTAGGTACTCATGCCCACCTTTGGGTGCGTTTTCGCATGTTGCCTTCTATTCAGGTTGAGACCCCTACTGTAGTCCAGTGAATGTCCCTTAGTGTGGATATATATACGAATGGATTAGATAGATATTGTTGAGCTATTTAGGATGTATCTGCGTATCGGATTGCTGTTTGGATCGTAGTAGAATAGGACTTGCATGTAGGCCTGACCCACTATTTATTTTTCAGGTGTCCGTCAGTTCCAGGGTTAAAGCTTGGACTTGCAGAGCAGATACAGATATTTATTCTACCGACTATGTAGGACTACTCTCTATGTTTAGTTTTATGTTTCATTTCAGTTATTTCAATTTCAGTTTGGGATTTTATTAGGGGTCCACAGGATGGATTCCCGAGTTGTTCAATAATTGGAGGTTTTGAAGTTTGGATTTTAAGAATTATATTTTGAGGATTTTAAATTAGTATTCCTTCAGTTTATTATTATTGTTCCTTAAACTCATTTTGTATTCTGTGTTCGTTTTACAATATTAATTGTTTGATATTCCCTCGGGTTTGGGCTTGGGCCTGATTAACCCGTGTCTCGGATCCGAGAGGTATCACAAAGAACCTCATTAAAGGTAGATTCAAATCAATTTCCATACAAATTTTAGCAAATCTAAGCTTCTCTTTGCTTTCTGTAGCTTAATCTGCATGTAATGGACGGCCAATCACACTAGCAATATGGCTAAGTCCTTTGGCAGTCCAAAACTGCAATGGAACACGAAGAAACTTAACCCAAATATGGATCAAATGACTGCTCTATTTTTCATATGACAGGTTAGGATGCCATATTTGAAGTAGCAGCGGTCTCCCCGCAATGAAATATGGGCCAAAGGTAAGGATGAATGACAATGATTGTTCAGAGCCAAACTTAAAATAAAATAAACTAGTGCCATCAGCAAATACATGCTTTAATCCTATGTCCTTCCACATCCACATGGCTGATTGATGCACCATACTAAAAGATGGCTTCCTTGCTGTGAAGTAGCCAGCAAGTAAGTCCGACCAATAAGAGCTCCCATCATTTTCCACATCTTCTGGTGGCCTCACGAATAAGCCCAACTCATTCCTTGATGGCTCAAAGTATTCAATGATCATTTTCGGCTGAGATGAACTGGGTGGAGGAGGTGGCTGGGTTGCAACACTAGCCTAAGATCTCTTTTGGTTAGGGTTCTCAATGCTATACATATGCTCCTGATGAGGTGGGATGGGTTGGACCACTGGTTGGTGACTAACCTCTGGCTCTTCAGAAAGTCCAACAGTTAAATATACAGGGGTCAAATCAGCATGAGTAGTAAAAGTATCCACAATTGGTAACAAGGTTGATTCATTCATCTGACATATAGGGGTTTGAAAGCCATGCGTAGCTAAAGTTGGATTGGGGGACCCTACAAAGTGGGAAACTGGGCAGACGTCATACCCATTCAAATTTGAACTGGGCGGAAAATGTGTTGGTGAACTTCGACCACTGTTGATACCACCGGGAAAAAAATCATGCATTACCTGAAGCTCCTTATAGATGGATAGAAAGTTGCCATGACTTTTACGTGTTTTTTCCAAAAGTGTAAGCATTTCTGGTAGCAAGTGATTTGCCTTTCAGGATGGGCAGCCAACAGCTGGGATGGGCGGTCCAAAGTCTTTGGGCTGAGTTCGCAACTCTGAAATTTCATCTTCCGCTTCTTTTAGACGCTCCTTCAGCCTGACAACTTCTTCAATGAGGTAAAACTTCGAGGCGTCAATGATGGTAGCATCAACTCCCTCAAGAAGGTACACAATGTGATCAATGGCCTGGTTACGTGGGTTAAGGATTCTGTCATTTTGAAGGACGTTATTGATTTTGTCAATGGTGTGGCGTGCTATTGAAGGAGGTCTGGGTTTGTGCTTTGCCTGAGTCCGTTCAACAGAAGAAGAATGAGGTCTCTTAGTAGAAGGCTTAAATGGCGGGACGGCGATTTAGAGTCTGGGGGTCGAAAGATCTTGGTGGAGGGGTGTAATGGTGGTTTACTGGCAGATGACGGCTGTTGGGAATATGGTTTACTCTGTGGGTGAGGCTTAAGGGTGGATGAAGTCGGGATTGAGAGAGGGGGATGGCAGAGAGGAGGAGGAGCGAGTTTCATGCTGAACAGGTTTCATGAGGTGGATGAAGTCGGGATTGTTACATAGTTTTGATAAATATGTTTGCTAAATTTTATAAAATAATAATATATATATATTTTTATAAAATATAGTATAAGATATTATTAATTTTTTATTCTCAAATAGTGTAATAATGTTCAAAGTAATAACAGTTAAACTTTTTAGTCTGTGTAATAGGCTCAAAATATAAGTTTAATTTTATCCAAGTAAAAAAAGTATATGTACATTCAAGTATTCAACAAATTAGATGGAGTGGAGATAATCATAAATATGCTTACACAAAAAAGAATGCGGCAAATTAAACAGAACCTAAAACCCAACTCACAAATGTTGTGGCATTTCCCATTATCCTATCACTATTCAATACCCAGTTGACACAAACCAAACCAAAGCAAACCAAACGACACGTGTCCAACCGAAAGCAGGGGAGACGTCTAAAACCTTTGAATAATTTTTGTCTCCATCTCTCTGAGGCTGTGGAATCATCGACTGGAATCATGCTAAGCCACTCTCTCTCCATTTCCAATTCCAAATACAAATACAACAGCAGTCTCATCAAACACCACCCAAATGCCGCTTTCTCACTCAAATTCCATGCCCCAATTAGGGTTCATTGTTCCACCTTCCGCCCACAATCCTCAGTTTCTCTGTCAACCCAGAGCTACACAATTGGGTACTTCCCGACCCAGTGGTCAAGAACCCAGGTATATCTCTGTTGGTGCTCTCAAAACCCTAAATTTCAATGCTTCCAAGAAGCTCAGTAACCAAAAAACACTACAGCTGGGCAGTTTCAGACCCGGAAACCAAGAACAGAGAATTCTGTGTTTTGATCCTTTGAGAAGCCAGAATTTCAAGCTTGATGACTTGGGTTTAGGGTTTTACGGGGTGATTCGGAGGAAGAGGAATTTCATTGTTGGTTCAAAATCGGTGTTGAGTGTTGATAAAGTAATGGAGAATGAAGGAAGTGTGGGAGTGGACATGAATAGCTCCTTTGATGCAATTGTTATTGGGTCTGGGATCGGCGGGTTGGTTGCAGCGACCCAGCTAGCTGTGAAGGGAGCAAAGGTTTTAGTGCTGGAGAAGTATGTGATTCCTGGTGGAAGCTCTGGGTTTTACCAGAGAGATGGGTACACATTTGATGTTGGGTCATCTGTCATGTTTGGTTTCAGCGATAAGGTCTGTTTTATAATTATATCATTATTGCCTCACATAAAATAAATCATGGATTTCAATGATTTAGGGATCATTGTTTGGTGCATTGCTAAAATGCTTGGGCAAGGTTAGGTCTGTTAGATTGGGAAATGAAGTCAAATTTTCCAATTCAATTTTGTTTTGGCTAAAATTGATCAAATGAATAAAAATGACATTTGGTTCAGCAATGAACAAGTATTATAGTGAAACTTACAATAAAATAAATATATAAATAAACTGTGGCACTGGGTCTAATTGATGTGGATTTTTTATTCAATAATCAGTAGGCAAATGTTCATCCTGACCTCGACATTCCAATGTAAAAGTGGCTCTGGTTTGATTCCAGGAGGAACTATGATGGTTTTAAATATTGATTTTGTGCTCTAATTTACTTAATCTGTAATATTATAAACTCAATAGAAGTTTATGCAAGCTCATGTAGGAGGTTAAACTTGGACGGTAGCTGAACTTTGAACTCCAATGTTTAAAACTGTGATAGTTATAAGTATCATGAGAAACTGTTGAAAACAATGATAGTTATTTATTTTTGTCTACTATTGTCGAATTGTTTGTTTTCGTAAGCTCTTTGCTTTTTAATGTGTGCTTGAAATGTTGGCAGGGTAATTTAAATTTGATAACGCAAGCATTGGCGGCGATTGGTTGTAAGATGGAAGTGATACCTGATCCAACTACTGTACATTTTCATTTGCCTAATAATCTTTCTGTCCGAGTACACAGAGAATACAGTGAATTTATTGCAGAACTTACTAGTAAATTTCCCCATGAAAAGGATGGGATACTCAAATTCTACAATGAATGTTGGAAGGTTTGTTCTGATTGTGGTAATTACACCTTCCTCTGAGTATTTTCACCTGTACTTGCGATTCAAACTCACATGAGAAATTTTGCATACTTATTTGGTAGGTTTTCAATGCTTTGAATTCAATGGATTTGAAGTCACTTGAGGAGCCAATTTACCTTTTTGAACAGTTCATGAAGAAACCTCTTGAATGCTTGACACTTGGTAATTATTTGTTTACTCTTCTGTTGAATTTTTCAGTTGTGCATTTGTAGTGAAATGAAATAGTCATTATCTTGATGATTGAGTTGATACAAGGTGTGATTATTTGTTGGGGCTCCATTTAGGGTTTCTTTTGGGTGATACTGCCAATCAGGAAGTATCGTGCATTTTTTTTTTCCTAGTTGGTACTCACACACACTTGTCTCTTCTGAGACTTGAACCCCTGACCTTCCTTTGGGAGGTAAGAGGCTGATACTGCTAGGCCACTGGCCCGTTGGTAGTATCGTGCATTTGCATAGTTTAAATGATTGTATTACTGTCAATATACAGTTTACTTTCACTGATCCCTTTGAAATGTAGTCATGTGATCCCAAAACAATAGTGATACGTTAATTATATATCACATTCTTTTTGTATGGTTAATAAGATCTGACGAATACATAATTAATATACTGATATCAGTAGCTGTGACGATCTTCTAGGCAAGTTCATGGCTTGATACTATAGAAAGTGTATATCATTGACCTTTTGATCTATGTTCTTTATTGGATTCATATATTCTGATTTGTGCTGGTGGACTATCTCCATGGATGATGATCTTCACATATTTATAATATGTGACGGCTCTTCTTATTGCTGCCGTGGAAGTTTGGTTTCTGTGCATTCATTTTCCCTTTAGTTACCAATATTTTTCTTACCTTACGTGCTGTTGCTGTCCTCTGCAGCCTACTATTTGCCCCAAAATGCTGGAAACATAGCTCGGAAATATATAAAGGACCCCGTGTTGCTGTCTTTTATAGATGCTGAGGTGGGTGACGTTATTCCTTTCACCAGATTAAAAAATTTCCTTATTCATAGGCATTGGGATAGGCAAATGGCACATCCAATCGACCTCACAAGAAATCTTATTAATGGTGTTTGCAGTGTTTTATAGTGAGCACAGTAAATGCTTTGCAGACACCTATGATAAATGCAAGCATGGTAATTTGCTCTTTTAGTTTTTTGGTGGGTTTTTTTATTTTTTAATTTTTGCCCTTTTTGTTACCTCATGTATTGTTTATGTTAGGTTGTGTGTGACAGGCACTTTGGGGGAATTAACTACCCTGTTGGTGGGGTTGGTGGAATTGCAAAGTCTTTGGCGAAAGGCTTGGTTGATCAGGGCAGTGAAATACTTTACAAGGCAAATGTGAAAAGTATTATCATGGACAATGGAAAGGCTGTGAGTATCCTTGGTCTGGGATAAGTGATGCTAAAGTTTTTGTACTTGGTTATTAACTTATTACATATGAGAAAATATGATTTTTTATTTTCTCCCTAAGCAGAAAATATGATTTTATTACTTATGTTATTTGAACTTGGATTTTTTTAGGTTGGAGTGAGGCTTTCAGATGGAAGGGAGTTCTTTGCAAAAACCATAATATCAAATGCTACAAGATGGGATACATTTGGTTAGTTCTCGCTGGAAGCTTTCTAAATTAATTTAATCAAGGTCCTTGTTGCTGTTTCTTGTGCTGCTTTCTTCAATTCTCTAGCAGGGGTCCTGATTGAAAATTATATTTACCATATTAAAGGCAAGCTTCTGAAAAGAGAAGATGTTCCTAAAGAAGAAGAAAATTTTCAGAAAGTTTATGTTAAGGCCCCCTCTTTTCTTTCCATTCATATGGGGGTTAAAGCTGAGATTCTTCCATCAGATACAGATTGCCACCATTTTGTTCTAGAGGTACTTGGTGTCTTCAGCAGACTCATTTGCCTGGCAGTTTCAAGAATTTATTGAGGAATGAGTGCTTAATGATTTTACTTTGTTGTCTTCTGCTATGTAGAATGACTGGACAAGTTTAGAGGATCCTTATGGAAGTATATTTTTGAGCATTCCAACTGTTCTTGATTCATCATTGGCTCCAGAAGGACACCATATTCTTCACATATTTACAACTTCTTCAATAGAGGACTGGGAGGTGAATCTAATATGCACATGCTTATATTGAAATACTATATCTTATGTGAATCTTGATTATACCTTATTTTTCTTTATTAATCTTAGTTGGGTATTAATATACACAATATTTTCATAATAAGCTTGTCTTTACTGTACTAGGGGCTCTCTCTAAAGGAGTATGAGGTAAAGAAGGAGATTGTGGCGGATAAAATCATAAGCAGATTGGAAAAGAACCTATTTCCAGGTCTTAAATCTTCCATTGTTTTTAAGGAGGTACAACTCAATGCCGTTCTCCTAAACATTTAATGGCGACTCTAGACAATGCTTACTAGTTAACCTTAGATTGTGCTTTAACTCTTTGGTCATATTGGAAGTGGTATATAGACATGGAAGTTCTTTGAAGTTTGCAGAGATTAACATACAATACATAAAAGTTATGCAAGGCTTTTCAAAGTTCAATTTGGTGTTAAATTTTTGTCACCCTGGTCGTCAATCAAATCCACGGGTCCATGGGAAAGTTTATAACATATGATGTACTTTTTCTTAATCAAAATTCCCTTGCGATATTTAATAATTCTACAAGGGTTGCAATATTTGCTTGTCATCTTAAAAATGATTTTGTATATGTATGATCTGCATAATCATTTGTATATTGAAATGTATATTTATCTGTAAAAGTGGCAAATCTTTCCTTTTCCTAAACTGCAGCTTTTTAAGGTATTTGTAAGATTTTTGTATTTTTATTTTAAACTACTTAAATGACCACATGGGGCCATTGCTTGGTGTTGTGGTAAAAGTTTGGCTTGCCAAGCATGAGAAAGCAGGTTCAAGTTTGAGGGCAGCCATTTTATAAAAATAATGCCAAAGATAGGTTTGTACCTAGTCTGTCCCTCCTTGCACTCTAGATTAATGAGGACCATACTTGGTAAGTGGTATTGGTCTTTTAATTGAAATGCTCAAATCAATTTTCTTTGGGATCGATTTGAATGTCATTTATCATATGAGTGTTGTCTTTGGGATCGATTTGAATGCCCTCAATCATATACAAGTGCTTCTTAACACTTTAACACAAGTGTGTGCTGCCTGGAATTCACTTTTATTGATTGTTTAGTGCCTGTTTGTTATGTGTTTTGTTTTTGTCGGGTACTGTAGCAGTGAATAGTGGAAAAACACGTTTGGTGAATAGTGTTTTTGTTTTGTACAGTGCCAAAAGCGTTTCGTGAATAGTGGCCAAAAGTCGAAACACCAATTTGGGGTTTCTCCATATTTCCGCGCTGTAACAACGGTACTGTTCACTGTAGCAATGAACAGTACCAAAAAAAAAAAAAGAAAAACTCTGAAATGACCTTTTTTTTTTTTTTTTGCCCCTAGTTCTTTGAAATGACCTTTTTAAACCAGCCATTATATTTTTTAAACTTGTAACACTTTTTTACTGAACATATTTTTATGTCTTCGCTTCCAAAATTTTTGCAACAAATAGACATTACGAAACATGCTTTCGATTACTATTCAAAACACCTATCATTTCGGGTTAAAACAAGAATGCAAAAACAAACCGCATACCAAATAGGTCCTTAGTTGGGTACCCCTGTGATGTGCCATAGAACAAGAATCAGAATTTTAACTATCGATACCAGCCTCAGCAGCAGCAGTGGGTCCTGTTCTTACTTGATATTCACGACATGACTTTGTATCAGTTCCTATGTTGTTAAACAAAAGTATGATTCACTAAAATGTTCTGAAAGAATTGCGAAAACCCCCAAAAATGGGAAGCGTATATATGAAGTTATATAATTTAATCACAAATTGTTGCATATATCACATATCAGGTATTTAAAGTTTTTTGTTAGTGGTTTCACGCTATTTTATCACATCAAAACCTAATATGAATCAAAACAAAAAATAATGAAAGGCTAATTAAAACTCATGAATTTTGCCTAATTTATTAAATATAGAACTATGCCAGGCAAGAACTGCCAGAACCAAAGAGAATTGTCACATTTTACATGAAGAAAATGGATAATCCTGAGGAATATATTTTAAAAGAAAAAATTACAGAAGTTACCCCAAAATTTAAAGTTCTTACATGTCACTTTTAAACGCTTATAGATGCTCTTTGTCCCCCTTTCCTCCCTGCCAGGTAAGAAAATTTAGAATAGTTTTTACTTAAGAAGTATGAAGGATGTTTTGTCAAGACATTATAATCATCCGTGTGTATTGGTATAAAACAAAGCATATTAATACCAAATAATTTATCAATTATTGAAAATTTATCGGTTTCAGCCGCAGTCTTATGATTGAATCGGCTGTTTCTGGATGGGAGCACAATTATTGGTAAGTATTGGTATTGGTTTGTGCTAAAAGTTGTAATGTTCAATAATATCTTCCTCCCCACCCCCCCGCCCGCCCGAGCAGATGCAGATTAAGAACAGTATTCTATTGGTAAGAAGGATAGGAAATGCAGTATGTTTTAACATTCACGGTCATTGTCATATTGAGGTTTTACTATTATGAAGATGACCTACTGAGTGTGGATTTTAGGTAGATGATAATTTAGCCTGTGATGCTGAATTTTTTGAAAATTGAATAACCCTGTTTATATCAAAAAAGCTAAAATACACAAGGAGAATATAGATTAGATGAAAGTAATTTAGAGGGGATGTGTGGCGTCCCACATTGCCTGGTGGGGAGAAGTTGTTGGCAGTTATAACTTATAAGGAAGATGTCTGTACCTGTCTAACGCGTTTTAAAACCATGAGTGCCAAGAGGGTGCAAAGCAGACAATATCTGCATTGTGTGAGGCAGGTCATGGTATCAAAACCAATCCCCAACGGAAATATAGGGGGCAGCGTGCACAAGTCCATGATGGTCATGCAAGTGATGTCCCACATCACTTAGGAGGAAGAAATTGCTGGCACTTAATAAGGGGGATGCCTCGTACTTATGTAGACATGATTTGAAATCGTGAGAGCCAAGAGGGTACAAAGCGGACAATTTATGCACAGGGTGAGGCAGATCATAACAGGATTTCTCTGGAAGTGAAATAACAAATATCAACTCTAGACATGGATGAAATTTTGAATTTTAGGAGAGTTGGAGGTTCCTTGATTTTGGGCTTAAGGTAATGGGTTCTTCTCTCTCCTTTTCAAGTTGTTCTCATTTTAGGTAATTAAATTCTTAATAGCCTATTATCTACACTGGGTGCATATGCATTCTTCAAAGCATACAAGTATGATCTTGGAATCTCCTCGAAATATGCTGCATGGAAAATGGAATACCAGGTCACTTGTTAAATATGCATTCATTTTATGACGAAAAATAAGTTAATGTGGATGAAAAGTTCTATATTCATTTCCTCCATCTCTCTTTTTACTATGAGTTTCTGGTACTTCAACAGCCTTACTAGTTACTTTTAGAATATCCTCCCTCTCCTTTGCACTTCATTTGGATGGTGCGGGGCCAAATGAATTTTCTTTTCAAGTTAAAGAAGAGGTCTTTCATGAGGCTTCTACACTGTTGACATTTTCTTTATCATTTTCGAAACCATTTTGTTGATGAATTCATTTGAATTAGCAAAGTTATTGATAGACAGATGGTTAGAAAATGCAACGAGGCAGATTTTCTGGCAGCTGGATCTTGCTGTTCCTGTTGGCTTGGTAATGGTCATAGGTTTGTGGATAGTCAAATGAATAAAAATTTGGTTGGATTTGATTCTTAGTCTGCTCTTCCCCGTCTGACCTTTTCAAGAGAGAACTTTGAAAAAGAGGCAGAGGCATGCCCAACGTATAAGCTTGTTGATAAAGGTGCCACGACACCCACTCATGTGGCACCATTTCTGGAAAAATGACACACCTGCCAGTATCTATCTGGCATGTCTCTAAAAGGACCAAGTGATCTCGAGCTACTTGTCCTATAACTGAACTTGCTGAACGAGGAAGGGGTCGCTACCCTTCGCTCCTCTGTAGAAGTGCCCCTCTCCAGTCGGATGGGTTCCTCCTCCTTTATCCTTTTCGAGGTTCCCTCTTGCAGACTGAACCTTGGACATTTTATGTTTTCACCTCGATCCCCCCTCCCTAACCGAAAGGGGTCTCGAGGACCAGGATTGGAACAGGGTCTCGCGGGGCCGAGAAGGTGGTACCCCGAGGGAACTCCTTTCCCCATCTCCAGGTGCGGGAATCTGAGTATCAGTGGTTAGGTGGCTAAGTTTCAAGGAATCGCTTCACCTCGAGGTCTACACAAGGGGGAGAGAATGTTTAATACCCAATAGCTGAGCTCGAGTAATAGAGACCACATAATACATTAAATATATATCTCATAGAATGACCGTTGGATAAAGACTGAGCTACCCTCGTTACCAAGAGTCCTTACCTAGGTAAAGCGACCGTTGGATAAAGAGGGAGTTGGCTCTTATGACCAAGGGTCCTTACCCAAATGAAAGTAGTATAAATAGGACTAAACTCTCATCATTTAGAGGAGGTTGGAATACATATGCACCACAACAACCATAACCATAGAGAATGGTCTTCTAGGACTCGAGCTACCATAGGATGTTAAACAAATCTGCCTTTTCTCTCTTAATCTCCTCTACGGAGAGTCCCTTGTGCTAGCTTGGAGCTCCACTCAGCCTCTGATCTCAGCATCCCCGACAGACATGGAATGATCTCCTCACATCATCACGAACTATCATCAACAAAGCTCTCTGAAGAATCAGACCGAGATAGCAGGTTCTCTCATGATAAAATGGTACTCATTATTGAGGTTAGAGGCATGTACAGTATTAATCCGGAATAAATTACTTGAAACATAGAGGAACGATTTGGTACCAGAAAGCAAATGGATCTGTGTGTTTTGAATCAAAACCACATGAATATTCGTTGGAGGAAACACGAGCAAGAAGTACTTCCGTAATATCTACTTTCCATAATTTTTCCTTTTAAGGTCCTCCTTATTGTTGTATATAGAGTTTCATGTAGAGATCACTGTATAGGTTATATTATTGATTATTTGCTACATTTTCCAAGAGAAGGACAAGGATACAGCATTAGCATGTTTCTTCCATTCCTTCATGTGTACAAACTTTTTTTTTTCCCAACAAATTCTAATAGATATTTATGCCTTTCGAGCCAGCACAATATACTATCACGTTGAACTTATTTGATATTACTCCATTCCATGGCAGAGAAAGAGGGATTTACTGGCCGGTTTTAAGTACTCTTCTGTAATTGTCATTTAATGAACTAGTCAGCCTAGAATTTCTGCATCACTTCAGGCTTCATAATTTTGTTTGATCAATTTTTTAATACTTTTTATCATGACAGGTGGGGACACCAAAGACACATAGGCGGTACCTGGCTCGTATAAATGGTACCTATGGACCAATGCCACGCCAAACTCCTAAGGGCTTATTGGGAATGCCATTCAACACCACTGTGAGTTGAACGCTACAACCTCAAATGGATGGTTAAAGAACTCATTAATATTAATTACTTTAGCACATTGAGTTAACTAGGCATTGCTATAATGGAACTTGCAGGGTGTAGATGGCCTGTACTGTGTGGGAGATAGTTGCTTTCCAGGACAAGGTGTTATAGCTGTTGCTTTTTCTGGAGTAATGTGTGCTCATCGTGTAGCTGCTGACATTGGTAAGCAGTGTTTTATGTCTGTAATGTATGATATGCTTGCCAGTGGCTGGCAATGGAGTTTCTGATCTTCTTATGAAGCTTGAATAAATTATTCTTGAACTAGAAACTTGATTGAGATTTGAGTTGTTCGCTATAACAAGTGCAGCTGTCTTGTTGACAAAATTATTACTTTACTGAAAGAGCCCAACATCAACACCTCCTTTAACTTCTTTTTTTTAACCTTTTTCTTAGGACTGGAGAAAAAGTCCCCCATATTGGATGCAGCTCACCTTAGATTACTTGGTTGGTTAAGGTCATTGGCATGAGAGGAGGTATGTTAAAATAGAAGAAATATTCTGATCATTGGGGTGAAAGCATTTAGTAATGATATAGCAAGTTGAGGCATGAAGATATGCAACCTATCTTTCTCTTGAGTAGATTGGGCGGCCACCAAAGGCACATTGAAGTATTCTGCGACATTGGTATTTAATCAATTTTAGCAAATAAACAAATTTTTAGTTGTAAATATTATTTGGACTTTGGAATATAATTGGGTACAAAAGCGACAGACTGCTATTTATATCGATTTAAGAATTGTTTAATTATTACAAATGATTGCACATATGATTGTTACTCTTACATTATCTATGATGTATAAACAGTGAAATTCTACTAATTTGTTGATTTTTCTGTGTTTATAACCTTATATTCACACCTATCAATAACTGAATCTTTGACATCACCATATTTAGTATATTAGGAGTCGTAGTTGGTTCAAGGGCCTACCCATGAACATCATTTTGAGCTTATGCTAAAACGTCTCTGACAAGATTGGACTCACCCCATAATGCCCAGGACAACATGTAGCATTCTGTTCTATGCTAGTTTCTGCTACATGATGAATTTACCACTTCTTAGAGGTGAAATTTGAAAAGATCAAAAATTCTGGATTAGTGACCGTCTAGTTTTCAGTCTCTGACCTTGCGACTAAAGTCTTCACAATGTTATAATGGTCGAAAGTGGAAGCTGAGTTGGTCAGCTTTATGCTCCCTGAAAGATTTGTCACTCTTTTAAGCTCCAGGTTGGACCTTCATCCTTCGCAAAGACGGCAGCCTACGACCATGGTTCCCTTAAGCCACTGCCCATTTTGATCCCATTAATTGTGGGATTCATGCCGTTGTATTGTACCTTCAGAAGATGATAGTTGAAACTTGAAAGACAGATAGCAGAAATGTTAATTACAGGGAATTTTTTGCCCTTTCTACTTATGTAACTTACTTTACTCGGGAATATATGGTAAGGTTATTTCTATTATAAAACTACATAAATCTCATTTATAGCTCCTGTTTTTTTTGTTTAGAAATACACTCACTGTGGGGACTTGAACCCTCCACTTTATACTTTAGAACTAGAAAAAGAGGGCTACAAAGCCTTTGGATCATTTATAACTCTTGTAAATAGTATTCTTTAAAAATCCCATTCGCGTCCGAGGAACAAGAATTAAGAGCCCATTGACAATGGAGATGATGGGCTGGCATCTTTGCGCAGCAAGGAGCCCAGACAAGCATTAAGGAGAAGATCCACGTCTTCCATAATTGAGGCAGACAATTCATTACTCATTAGAGGGAGAGAGGTTTACAGCTTTAAGACGATCACTCTCAATATCGACATTTTCGTAACCCCTAAGAGAGAAGTTGTAGACCTAACCTTTCCTTATAGCTCCGAGTTTGGCCGTTTCTGGGACATGAATCCCTGGTTGGAAATAAGAATAGTATAACCATTTTGATCGCAAAAAATAAGTCCGCCACCCATGCCTAAAATGTTTCTATGGGGAGCTGCATTCATCTAACTACAGGCGACATTAAAGCTGGAGGGCGCCAGTGTGGATGAATGGGATCGGACGGACTGAGAGGAGCTGAAGTTAAACCACAATAAATCTTGAAAGTGAAAATCTTTGAATTCATCTAAGCAGAAAATGGCTCTATCAACCACAGATTTGGGATCCACTTTTTCATGCTGAAGTTCCAATCGTTGTGGGTTTTCCATAATTCTCAATAAACCCTCCATGTCATGATGAGATGGCCAAGCTCCATAAACCCATGAGATGGCCAAATTGTGGAATTTTTTTTATTTTTTTTTTTTCAAAGATAGAAAATTTTAATTTTGTGCCCGAAGTTTTAGGCGACAAATGAGCCGTACAATTTTGCAAAAGAACATAATAAATGGTAGAGGGTCGTTTCATCTTCAGAGTTATTTCAAAAATTGAGAACACGGTTATTGATGGTTCAAATATATTAGCGTCTACTTTTCTTATATCCCCTCGGTTCTCTATAAATATTACGAGGAAGACTCTATAACATATGCATGACATTAGAAATGTGGACTTCTAAAATCTTTAGAACGTCTAGAAAAATATGGAGTGTTTAGAGAGTTTTAAAGATTCTAATATATAAGATAGAGTGCAGAAGATTTTAAAATAATTAATATTTGTACAGAGTTGTAATTTTAAATATATAGAATGTAGTGAATTCTACAAAATCAAATAGTATGTCTATAAATAGGTAAGGGTGTCACTTGTAAGTTAAAAAAGTGAAAATTACAAGAGTGAGTGTGAAGCACCCAGAGTTAATATAGTAGAGTAGTTTTTTGACAAGGTCCAGTTATGTCTATTTTGTTAGGATAGACACACTTAAAATGTGTAATAAATTTTCAAATGGTGTCCTGTTAAATTTTCATAATTAATGTTCGGGTGACGTACTTCTAATCGTTGTATCAAATTTAAAACTAGTGTAATGTATTAAATTGAGATTACACATTATATGGTTTCTATGTTAATTAATTACTATTTTTTTTTTTGAAAACTAAATGTTGATATCTATTTCGTTAATATTTCTTAAAATAATAATTATCTTTAGAAATTAAGTACATGGTAAATCAAAATGATATTTTGTAACCATTCAAACTAAATACACACGGCAGAGGGAATGCATGCTCAGGGCATGTGCGCCTCTGCATTGCTACACCCACTCTATTATTATAGTTATTTTTTAAAAAAGATTTATATATGTGTAGAGATTTGTATATAATGTCTTCTTAAAATTATTTTAGTTTCTAAAATTCTTTTTAATTTTTTCTTATTGTTCCTTTAGTTTCCTTAAAAAAGTAAAATTTTCTGTCTTCAGTCACACTTTAAATTTTTTCTTTTCAAAATATATCATTTTTCTTCTTTTACCTAAAATTCTTCTTTCTTATTTTTATTTTTTTCTTCATTTATTTATTTTTTGCACTATGCTCTTAAAAAATCTAAATTGATATTTTCTAAGCAATCAAAAGAAAAACAAAATTTTAATGTGTCATTCTTTTCCCACTTATTTATTAATCAGTTCAGTTGTTAGTGATAATTCGAGTCTGTTGCGAATTGTTGGAAATCGCAGAAGGTTTTACTAAATTCTAAACAGCCGCCTCATTGAACCGCCTGGGGTGGGCAATTTTAGTCGGCCGCTAAACAAACAATTTTAGTGTTTCGGCTCCCGTTCCATCTATGCTAAAAAATTTCCAGTATTCCACTAAACCAATATTTCCATTTGGTTATCCTTCTCACATAAAACTTATGATTTAAAATGAGATATGAAACTTCAATCAGTAGTAAATGATCAACAACATACTTAAATGACCATGGTGGGTTTTCTTCCCTGAATTTTTTTTTTTTTTAAGGGATATATCCTTGTTAATTTATTTTTTCCAATCGTAAAATATTATCATTGTCCTCCTTAAAATTACTAAAAAATTCATTATTATCTTCTCTCACATAATTTTTTTGAATCTTTTCTCTGAGTTCTACTGAAAATTATGGTGGGCTAAGCGTCATGTGCATCAAGCAATTGGATGCTTAAATAATAATTTATAGTTGCTTGGTTAATAATTGCACGAGAATGGAGAAAAAAAATGTGGCTCATCTATTTGGATACATAGGTATACAGGTTCGCTACACACATTTTTGTTGTTTGTACAATTAAGAATTTTTAGTTTTAAAATAACCGGTTGCGTAATATAGTATTAGTGTCTGCTTAGGAAAATGCTTTGGTTCAAGTCTTAATATGCGCACATGCACATGTTCCTCCGTTTTGTTTATTCGCTTAATCTGTTTGCCTTGTGTTTTGTTTATCCCATTTCATTTGTGTGTGTTTGTGTGTCTGTTGAGGCTTGAGAGAGATTATATGTTTAAAAATGATACGAGTACAGAAACAAGTCAGAAGTGCTTTCAAATAAATGATTTTGTAAACAATTGTTGTTAATCTTTTCTTGGTAACCAATTTCATGGATTTCATTGTTTTGAGGTTCTCTCATAACCCTTTCTTACCCTGTTACCAGATATATTATCCTACATTGCTGCTTTATTCAGTTTATTGAAGATAATGTCACTCTCTTCTCCTCTAACACAAAGCGTTTGGTTTTTATATATAATACGAGTATAATACAAGATTATTCTAGATTATTTACTACTTCCCAGTTGAAGTTTACTTCCATTTACGAAACCATTTGTTTCAGAGGAAAATTCAATAACCCACCTTCCTAAAGGAAGAGTCATACCAATTCTCAAACAATTATCTGACCATCATTTCATTATTAAACTAACAAAAAACCAAAGTGTTATATAAGTTTACAAATATATGCTGTGATCCGGAAGTCAGCTTCAAATGACATAAAACAAGCTTCTTTAAGCAACAAAGAGAAATTAATACCCATCTTCGGATAGAGTACGTAGTTAAACAAGCTTAGAGAGAAGTCCAGAACATGAAATACAAGAGAGCAAGATGAGAAAAGAGCTTAAATTTACAGGCTGACTGATAAGAAATCTCATCAATTCAAATTGCATTGTTATCTTGTACGCAAATGATCATATATTACACAATAGAAGGAGAAAAGGAGCTTTCACAACCCCACGAACTAATAACAGCAAAGGAAGACAATGCTGTTGTTTTATCAAAGATTTGATATTCTGAGTAGGAACAAATAATAACAACAACAACAACAAAAAGATATGAAAAGAACAGAAGTACAAGTACAAACTAAAGAATGGGTGTGATTATGAACAGTGTTGTCTATGCCAAAAAAATGACCTAATCCGATTCTAGATAGCTAATTGAGAAAATATAAAAATAATATATGCAAACTCTAAAATTGGACAGACAACAATCGCTTTCCCGCTCTCTGAAGCCAGACTGATCTTTACACGCTTCCAATTCTTTCAAGCTGTATAGACTGGCAAATATTATTCAGCAATTAGACAACTATTGAGTGTGGTGTCATTGAGATACCAACATAAAGCATTAATGTTTCTTAAAGGCTTCTCTGAACCCAATGCTTCCGCTATTTTGCAATCCCTTCTTGCCAAAATTAGTGTCTTGCATCATGGCTGCAAATTCATTGTAATCAATGCGTCCATCCTAGAAAAGCCCATACAAAATTAACAGAAGATAAGATTAAATTCTATTCATTCAAAAAATGAAGTATATAATGAAAAAAAGGAAGATCTTCTGGCAGGAAGCCATTACATTATCCTGATCAACTTCACGGATAATTTCATCTAGGTGAACGTCTCCTAAACCAAAATTCTCACAAGCCTGTTGAAGCTCATCTTGGGTGATGTACCCACTCCCATCTTTGTCGAAATATGAGAAAGCTGCATACAGATGGTCCTCCTTCTGGACTTTATTTAGATGGAGCATTGCGGCTACAAACTCACCGTAGTCTATAGTACCGCTGTTGTCAACATCTGCCTGTATTGCCCAAATCACAAGGTAAAATTAGTGACACAAAGAGGATCAGATGTCACAAATAAACAGCGAGGAGTAAGAACAATTTCACGCCTGGGGCAGCTACCATGCAACCCAAAGCACCGAGGCAGCATTATGCTAGGTAATGCCACTCACATAAGGTAAAGTCTTGTTACTTCATCAGGCCGATTGCTCAGAGTTTAGCTAGATGATTATAGTAGTGTCGATCACAAACTATGCTTATATGGTACTGTTGTCAAATCATAATTACGCACTTGTAAAGTGACTGCTAGAAGTGTAAGACTAGCCTGTGTGGAGTAAATCCCAAATTCCTTGCTCGCACTGGCTGTACTGTAATAACATCACATTTTTGTATATTATATTCTATCTTTGCAAATTATGCTAATATGCTTTATTTGTTTGTTATGTGAACATAAAACTCTCATGAATTGTTGACTATTTGTTTTACTGAATACATGCATTTCGGTATTTTATTTTATTTTATTTTTCCTAGTTGAAACTCACACACCCACATTTTTGGTGTTTTATTCATAACTCAGTTTAGTAATTAATAGTTTCATCAATCGTTTTGATTAAACTATTAACACCCACATTTTACTTTATTTATTTGTTATGTAAATATAAAACTCTGATGAATTGTTGACTATTTGTTTTACTGAATACATGCATTTTGGTATGTTATTTTATTTTTTCTAGTTGAAACTCACACCCATTGGTAGGATCAAGATGAGATGACTTTCCATCAGTTCATGCTTAATCTTAAACTATTGCTTCCTTCCAATTCCCCAACTACTTCTGTTTGTAGCTGTTGGTGAAAGAAATTCTTTTACAATTATTTTCCTTTTTATATAAAATTCTCTTTTTCTTGCAACTCTTTTCAGCACATGCACCTAGCCCTGCTTCTACCCCTCTTCCACTTTATGATCCCAAGTTTACTAGCACAACTGCCACTCGTCAAAATGTACCGGTTCTTCATTCGCCTTACAATTCAGAAAGCTTGAACCAAGCCAAGCTTACTAATGCTTGGTTAAGCTTTCTTAATATAATAATGCTATGTTTTGGAGCAACGAATCGGCATCTTGGAATTGGAATTGGAGAAAAATTAGTTCAAACTAATTTCAAGGCATCGATTCGGTGCTCTCAATCGCAACAAAAGCTTATTTCGGGTGGGCAAAATTCAGAAGCCACTCTTTTACTGTTGGTCCCAGCTCTAATCTATGGCTCATCATTTACTCCACCTACGCTCCTCAGGAGTCCGCCAGCTCTATTCTTAACAAGAATAAAAACTCGACCACAAAAGATTGGCAGCAAAATTTTAATTTAGAGACAAAAATGGATAGTTTGAAAGGAAATCTCTGAACGTTTTCTTAGATCTAACAAATATTTGGATCATATGAGAAATAAAATGGTTAAAGATAATAATGCATAATTACCGCTTGCATTAGACCACTGATTTCTGCATCCTTAAGGTTAGCACCCACTCTTTCCAAACCCGTTTTCAGTTCCTCAAGTGTGATCTGCCCACTATTATCTGCGTCTATCATCTTAAACATTTCTTTCAATCCAGCAATTTCCTCTTCAGACAAACTCTCAGCAATTACCTACAAAATGTAATCACAGATGGGCTAGTCAAAACCAAACACAGAAAAAAATTAATGTTGAACAAAGTTGTTACACATCACACATCAATAGAACATTCTCTTTCTTTTGTCCTACATTTAAATTTGGGTAGAGAAGGCAATCATAAATGTGCCCCCAAGATGAGAAAGGACGAATCAGAACCAGATTGCCAGGTCTTGCGCTTTTTTTTTTCAAGAATGTAACTTTCTACTTTTTCTTATATACGAAGTACTCTATATTGTGTAGGGCTGGAATTAAACAAACAATCCTGCAGAAATTTAGAATGTAATTTTCCACGAGTGGCATGCTTCCATCACCATCAATATAAAAAGTGCATTGCCCAATGTACTCCCACCTACAAGGGGTGGGAGGGGGAGGGAAAGACTGGAGACAGACGTAATCTTTGGCGTTATTCTGCACAAAGTGGCTGCTCTCATAGTCGAACCCAGATCTCTGCTTATCAGTCTGAGGTTTTACCATTCTGCCAAGTGATAAACCTTTCCAACATCATCAAATGTCAGAGATTTAAATGATTAAAAGTGCTTACTCTAATGGCTATCTTCTTGAGTTTATTCATGGCAGAGAATTGCTTCAAACGAGTTAGAACAGCAGAGTCAAGAGGTTTATCAGGAGCTACGCCGCCAACCTGAACCCAAGGGTGGCCTGCAAGAGAAATTTATCATTACTAAATGACCTGTATCATGTAGGCGGGACCAGCAGTTGGTAGTGATTAGAAAAACTATATACAGAGAGGTGCATCTTAAAATCAATCTTATTTTGTAATTTTAGCAAAAGCAAAAATTGCTTCTTGTGAATTCTGAAACATCTTAAAAGTACTTCCTATAGAGTGAGTTTTAGGGGATTAAAGATCAGGTGATGCACAATGCTACACAAGCGTAAGGGGTGCCGAAGGAATTCTACGTGAAAATTCTCCATAGAAGTCCATCAATGTATCAATATCTACAATTGAATGGATTATGGAACAGAGTTTTAGACAATTGAAGATTATTTTGTAAAATGGGATGTAACCAAATTTTATCAAATGAAAACTAAGGAAATGTCCCTCTCTGCAATCAGATTTGGTTTGTTATTTGATCACAACCCCTACTTCTTCAGTTTTTTCATCCTCAAATCCTAAATCCAAGAGACAATCATTTCCGGCCTTCAATTCCAGATTTTTAATTACATAGTAGTCCTAAGCAACTCCAGCAATGAAATACTTGAATCCAAACAAATCCCAATCACCTTTCGTCCACATACCTTTACTATTTGTTCCACACTTTCGAACCCTAAAGGTAAGAACTTCCATTCTTTGGTGCACAACAATTTTCTGGGTTTTCTAGTGCCATTATGTATATATAGAGAGAGAGGTGCTATACCAGTCTGCAAACAAGGCATCAGACCCTAATATTACACAAAACCCAATAAACAACACTCCAATAGCAGAAAACCATGATAAAAAATGGTCAACAACTAACTAAAACTTTCCATCTCAGGATTAAAATAATCATGGCCCACCAGTTTATGAATCCCACCAATTCAAGATTTTGGTACAAGATTTTGGCATGGTTGATGGTAGCCATTTGAATTCAATCAATGATGCCCAAATACAAAGGAAGGATCAGACTATAGGAAACTGCATACTCACAAAGAACTTCATGGGCTGTCAGCCGCTTCTTTGGGTCTCTCACTAGCATTTTCCTGACAAGATCTTTTGCACTATCAGATATACTAGGCCATGGTTCTGATATAAAGTCAAGGTCACCTTTTAGAACCTGTTCAAATATTCCTTGCTCCGTTTCTGATCCAGAACATAAAAACACATCCGGAAAATTAGATGTAATTGTTAGATTCACCAAATCATAAGATGTGACTTTTAAAATAAAAAATAAAAAATATTTGTTCTCACCATCCCAAAATGGGGGAACCCCACTTAATAATATATAAATTATTACCCCGGCACTCCAAACATCACATTCTGGACCATAATGCTTCCGCAGCACTTCTGGGGCCACATAATAAGGGCTCCCAACCACATCAGTGAATGTTTCACCTGGATGGATTGAAAAGGTATAAAATCAACTGGAACAAAAAGGGAAAGCGTGCTATATCAAGTTCATAACTCGGTCATATATATCACTATCACCAAGAAAAGGAATATTGATGGGATGATATGTAAATGTTTACTCAAAAGTAAGATTATAACATGGAAAAGCTTATATGGAAAGTCACAAAAATTCTTCGGCACAGACAACAAATGCAATAATATTCATATATATGGAAAAGTCCCAAACTTCTGACTGTTCTGAGATCTGAATCAATTGTATGTACCAAAATCCATTCAACAAGTAAAACTTCATTAACAGAAACTGGTTAAGTGCATTTCCTATCACTTATTCAAGAAAAGAATATCAAAATTAAACTTTCACATGTTTTTGGGCAGGCTAATGGTGGCTACGTATATCCAAGTTGCCAAGTACCAAATCGAGTCTTTGACAAACCAATTTACTTTGTGTCTTAAATAGATCATGGCTAAATAACAATTAGGAGCAGCAAAGTATCAGTCACCTTAGGTTGTTTCCAAGACAGGCTATATATCTATTGTGATAGCCACGCCACTGTCAGGACCAACCAATCAACTAACACAAGCCAAATTTAATCCCCTGTTTCAGGTAAGAGTTTAATCCCTTACAACCACATTACTAACACCACTACCTACTAAGCTGTTAAAGAAGAGGTAGCACTTCTTACTTGCCCAAGAAGATGATCTAAGGTCTTAGAGGAAAAGTCAACCAAGCTCAAGCCTAAATGCTGGCTGATTAAATAAGCTTGTGACCAGAATGGTTAGCCTCAACTTGGTTCATGCGCTTGAGTTCATACCTTAAGATTGTCGAACTGACTGTATTTTCATTCCTGACCTATTGTCTTGTACCATAGCAAAATAGTACAACAGCCTAACCACAGTGATCTAGTCACAAAAATGTCCCCATTAACAGTGTTGTGCATGGGTCAGCTTAATATTAGACGAATGGGAAGCAAAATATGGCCCAATGTACCATTCAACACCCAGCAGTTGCACAAACAAACTTGCACCTAGATTAACATTATCTATAGTAACATAACAGGAGTAAGAAGGCGATATGCTCAGCAACATGGTAGGACACTGGGTTAAAAAAATGTTGACCTAATACAAAATGTGAAATGGATTTTTCGGTCTACCGATGATCGATTGTTAAAATTTATAATGCACAAATATACTGTGTAGCCTAATACAAATATGTGATTAGGATATTGTACTTTCCACATCAATTGATGTAAGATAACACTACGAAATTAAAATCAATGCCACTTCAGGTCGATTTGGTTGCTGAAAGTTTATAGAAGAAATGCATTATAGATCTATTAGAAAAGAGTACAATAATAGGCACCAGGAACAGCCAACGGTCCAAAGATTTATATAGAGCTTGAAAATGAGCAAGGTGAACCTTTTTTTAGTGATCCAATGAGGTATAAGAGATTAGATAAACCAATATGCCGGGTAGTCACTATCCAGAATTAACTCTCGCTCCTGGGGTGTGATAGCACCCATTCTCTCCATCAAAGTCGCCGAGAAACAGCAATCAGGTTTCCAAATATAGGGTTCTGACGCATCTGAAGAGTGATTCCAAATATAGGGATTCTATCTAGACATTAAATCATGCTGTCATCATTGATTTTCTTATGCTAAAAATTGAGGTTCCAAACAAAAAAGTATTTCTGGATATTGTACTCCTGTGGGTGGTTTAGACATAAGATTAAGAAACAAGATTCAGACATAGTGGAGAATGATTCCATGAGGATCTTAAAAGTTCAGTTCACGCCACAGTTGCATCTTAAAGACAATCAATAATTTAACCAAAAAAAAGGTGAACTTTTAGAAGAGTACCTGGCCTAAAGAAAACTGAGAGCCCAAAGTCAATTGTTTTAAGCAGTGACTCCTCTTCCTGGTTAACAAAGAGAAAATTCTCGGGCTTCAAGTCTCTATGCATAACTCCTAAAGAGTGGCATGCTTCCACAACACCAACTATCACCCTTGCAAGCTCAGCTGCCTTTCTCTCTGTATAATGCCCCCTCTGTATAATCCTATCAAAGAGCTCCCCACCTGCACAAAGTTCCATAACAACGTGCACTGCAATGGCATCCTCATAAGCAGCTACAATTGATATCACATGCGGGTGGCCTGCCAAGTGGTGCATTATCTGGATCTCCCTCCTAACATCCTCCACATCCTCTTCAGTTGTCAATTTCCTTTTTGCAATGGATTTGCAGGCAAACTCCTTTCCAGTTGCCTTCGAAATACAAAAAAATGTCGTCCCAAATTGCCCTTGTCCAAGCTTCCGCCCCAAACTATAAATATCCTTCAAATTTCCAGTTTTCCTCTGCAATACTGACTCAACTTGAAGTCCCATACTCGACGCCCGTTTAACATGATTTGGCTTGTTCTGTTTTGCAGCATCCACCTGCTTACTTTCCTCCTCCTTTACCACGGGTACTTCTGGCTTGTCAGGCTTCTTGGGTGCAGCCGGTTTAGGCTCCTCTCCAGTTATTTTAACCGGCTCAGGTGGTTTACTCTGGACACTAGCTTGAGGCTCAGCTCCTTTAGGGGTTGAAGCAGCTACATTTTCTGAACTTGCAGCATTGTTGTTGTTGCTGGCTTCTCCATTAGGAGGAGGAAGAGTGTGCTCCTGTGGCCGGGTTCTCCATACCGCGGCTGTAACAGATTGTAAGAACCCATTCTTGCCCAAATTGGGTCCTACACATGTGTTCCCCATCAAAATACCAATCTAAAATCCTATCCCTCCTGAATCACAATATTCAAATGAAGTTCCAGAGATCCCATTAACAATAATTCAATACAACTAAGAGCTGCGTGATCAGACCATTCACAACTCTATCAAACCCTAAGTAGCCAACCGAACTGTCCTTCCGAGGAATCAAACTCGGAGAGTTTTATAGATCAAAAACTACAATCCCTTTGAACGATTAAGGAGTTATTGAAGCAAATATATCAAAAATGGCTTCCAATAATAAAAATATATAAATAATTTACATTAATCGCATCACAAAAATTCTCAAATGCGAAGCTAATCCAATAATTAGCAACAACAAAAAAAAAATGTAAATGAAGCGACTAAATAGATCAAAAAGATTTTTACAAAAACGATGAAGAATCAATTTTTTGGATAAAAAACGAACATTAAATTTTCAAATGATGGGTAATAAACGATCAATGAATCATAATAAACAACGCAATGGGGGTAATAACAACGTAAAAATGTATAATTAAATTAATACATACGAAAACAGTGAAATCGGAAGGAGCATTGGAGAAAGAAAGTGAAGGAAATTGGAAACAAAATACCAAGGAGATATTAGGGCGATGCCATTCCCATTACAGGTTGTAGAGAGAGAAACAAGAAGGAGAGGGGAGATAGAGGAGAGAGAGAGAATTCCTTGTTGAACAAAATTTTTGTGATTATTACGTGACTAACCATATGATAGTGATACTAGTAAATATATTAATCAAGTAACGATTTGCTCCAAAAATATGGTATAGATAAAAATGATTGTCTTTTTAGTCCTAGTTTGTTGGCATGATTGATTTATGTAATAGATAGGTAACACGTCATCAACTCTTTTTTTCGCTATTAAATGGCATGTGACGGCCCACAATATCCAAACCCTTATCTCCAACAATTAGGTCTCGGGCTGCTTGGGTTGGCCTAGGTTATAGAGACCCTAGTTTCAAATTGGAGCCAGCTTAACTTTCGACGATTTTAATACTCCGTATGAGTTAACAGATCATGGTATGCTACCATGACTATAACAACATATCATCAGATTTCGATTTATTAATGTTTATATTGCAATCGTGGCAGCATTAATTGACTATCGTAATGAAATGTTTCACGTTGGTGTTTGATTTGTTAATCAATTTAACTAAGGATTCACTAATAGGAATTATTTCTATTTTTTATCATCAATTTTTAAAAATGTAAAATAAAAATAAAAATTATGTTGATTAATATAATTTTACTTTTCATATTTTAGAAAGTAATTTCACATTACAAATAGGTCAGTGACCTAACGATACCAAATCCTTACTTCTCAAATATGGGTTAGGTGTTCGAGTCTCGGTGGAGGCATGTGTGTGTGAGTACCCAACTAGAAAAATAAATAAATAAATACTTTCACATTTAATGCATGAAAGAGAAAGTGAGAATTTGGTACCTTATACACTACTGTAGCATTTACTCACCAATCATCCTCTCCCTTTCCGCCATTCTCACCCGACCATCATCGCCCATCGTCATCTCCCTCTTTGTCATCATCATCTCATCCCACCCACCAGCAACAATGGAAGACACTACTCATTAGCGACAATGGAAGACACCACCCACTACACTTTCTACCAGTATCTTTCTCTATCTAGACAAAGACACCTCTCCCATACACATAAAACCCCCTCAAATAATATACCCAAATCAACCATCCATCTCCTTCCTTGTACACATCAAAACCCAGGGCCACAATCATCTATCTCCTCTTATACACACAATGGCAGATCTAAGGTAGGGTTGGGCTGGACTCCAGCCCACAAAAATATATATATATATTACTATTGGTATTAATCCACCCAAACAAGCCCAAGTCTAAAATAAATGCCTAATCCAAACATGCCCAACCCAAATAGGGCATAATACATGTACTATTGCTATGATCTTAGCCTTAAGAATTGCAATTCCCAAACCTCTGTTCTCATCTCCATAACTCCACCATTGTCCTCCTCTGGCCTCAAATTTTATATAGATTATGTTATAATTTTTTTTCTTTTATATGTATAGATTATGTAATCTTTGAATTCAAATTTTTATCTAGATTATGTTATAAAAATAAAATAAAATAAAATAAAAAATTGCTTAAGAAATTGTGTTATTAAATTTATATTTAATTTTAGCCCACCCCATTGTCAATTCCTGAATCTGCCCTTGCATACACATCAAACCCCATCAATAATATATCCAAATCAGTTACGGTGACTACGGCAGCGATTGTGACGAGTCCAGTGCCAGAGCCGGTTTCGAGAATACGGAGGGGGCGGTCTTGTCCGTGTAAGGAGGAGAAGGGACCGGAGCTATGTTGTGTTGGTTTTCTGATCTATGTTCTTGGCCATTTTTTTCCAAAAGAGAAGGAATAATTTTCTTCTAAAAATAATTATGATTATTTAAATCAAACATTTACAATATGCCCACTCCAAATCCTGTGTGAGTCTGTCAATCTCGGTTGAAATTTTTAAGAATTTTGCAAGATGATATGGTAAGTTTATATGAGGATGCATGCGAGCTTGGTGGATACGAATCCGAATTGTGCTTGGAATTTAGAAACCAAAATTAAAATCATAACTATTGAACTTACTTTCTAATTTTTTACTTTCAAAATATTAAAAGCATAAAAGATTATTAAATTCTACCAAGTATTTCAGAAATGAGAATTATAATTTTACTTTTGAAAAAGTAAAAATAAGAAAAGTGAAAACGTAATAAACAAGCCCTAAACGTATCATATTCATATGAAAATTATTTAATTCGTTAATTTATTTAACTAAATTAACTAAAGCATCATATTCGTATAAGAAATGATTCATTTAGCTAAACAGATTGTGTTCACGTTAAAAATAATATTCACAATTATATCATTTTCCTAATTCTAAATAGCATTACTCTTTTATTAATTTAAAATTAATTTTATAATTTTATTAATATTACAAATAATTTAGTGAGGGTCAAGTTAGTTGGGTTGGGTCCAAGCCCCACCCAACAAGGAAATTTGGTAGAGAGAGAGAGAGAGAGAGAGGCAGCAATGGAGGCGAAGGAACTGGTTGCGAACGGAAGCAACAGAGAAAAGAAGATGAAAAGGAAAGAGGTAAACAAAATAATCAACGAAGAAAGTCTTTTTTACATTGATAAGTGAAAGAAAAATGGAAATAAAAAGCTCCGATCGCTAATTGCAGATACTGGAAAAGAAGAAAGCAATCGATGAAATTATCAAAGCAGCTTCTTCGTCCCACAGAGATCACCTCGATTCTTTCCAACCCTTTCGCCACTACAACAGAAACGGTACATATACTTATAATTTATATATTCATATTCACATCATAGTTTGGCCCATCTGTTACAGTATTACCCTAAAGTTTGAATGCTTGTCATATTGCCCTTTGGGTACTTTATGAGGTCTTGCAAGTTGGATTTTATTGCCTTATATTCATATTTGTTGTCACACATGTGTGTGTAAATCTTGTGTCTATAATCAACATGTACATTGACTAGTTTTATGTGTTATTTGGAGCAAATTTCGTTTCCTTTTACTGTTTTTCATCTGCATAGTTGAATTGAAATTTCCTAAAAGTTACTTTGGATTTTAAACTCTTAATTAATTAAAAGATTTGTTCATCACGTTATGGGTGTGGGGGAGGGCTACCCCATTTTATGTGGCTATTTTTTGCTTTTCGATGTGGGGAAAAAAGAAGAATTAACAATAGAAACTGTGCATATAAACGATGTGCAAAGTGTTCTACTGGATTGCTTATAATTGTTCCTTAGCCTGTCTTTGATAGCTGAGAAAAGGTAGGATAGCAAACAAAAAGTTACAAATTTCATATTTCCCTATCATTTAGAGCTTTGTTGAGGGAAAATAAAAGAAAAAAGTTTAAAGTCAATCTGTCAGCACCATTATTTGGCTAGAATAAGTTTCTTTTTAAATTTTTTTGTAAGTTTTCTGAAAAAAATTTGATGATCAACCCGAGACTTGAGTTTTTGGTTTCATTGTCATTTTGTTCTGTTAGCAAATGAAATGGATAGTGATTTAGATTTGACCACAAATATATATATTTTTCCTTCTTAAAAAATATATTTCGGAGTTCTTTTTATATTTATTTGCTTCCCCTCTCAGCCCCCTCTTATTTTGACTTTGCGACCTTATAAACCCCATATTATCAATTTAGAGTTATGTGATGCTCGTTTCTTTGGGCCATTACTTGTTTTAGTGGTAAACCGTGGTTGTCAAGTGGTTTTGAGTCTCATAGTTCAAAGGCAGCAAGCATGTGTGTAATACCTTAATTTTAAAAGGACAGTCTCGGTATTTATTTATTTGTTTTAATTGTATTTTTAATTATTTAATTGATTATTTGACTAATTGTTTATGGGTTTAATTGAATTAAGTGTTACTTGAGTATTTGATTATGTGTCTATGTGTTATTTGTATTTGTCTATGTGTTAATTGTTTAATTAGATTATGTGCTTAAATGGTGTTTTGATTAACTGTAAATTAAATGTTTTATTTTATTTATTATTATTATTATTATTTTTTTTGAGACTCATAGTTCAAAGGCAGCAAGCATGTGTGTAATACCCCTAATGTTAAAATGATAGTCTAGGTATTTATTTATTTGTTTTAATTGTATTTTTAATTATTTAATTGATTATTTGACTAATTGCTTATGTGTTTAATTGAATTAAGTGTTACTTGAGTATTTAATTATGTGTCTATATTTTATTTGTATTTGTGTATGCGTTAATTGTTTAATTAGATTATGTGCTTAAATGGTGTTTTGATTAACTGTAAATTAAATATTTTCTTTTGTTTTATTATTTTATTTATTATTAGTATTTTTTTTTATGATTATGGTTAGTAGTAATGGGCCAACCAATTGGGGCCTATGGACTACTTGGATAAGAGGTTGGATGGGTATGGATTATTACCCATGGATAGTTGTGTATATATAGATATATATTCTATATATATATAAAAAGGAAAGTAATTTATTAATTACTTTTATGGTAACTTGGGTAGTAATATTTAATCTGATGTATATGTTTTATATTTAAATAATAAAAATATACATAGATTTGATACGTGTTATATTTTATTATTGGATAATCCATTAATAAATAATGGGTAATTTATTAATTACTTTTATGATAACTTGGGTAGTAATATTTAATCTGATGCATATGTTTTATATTTAAATAATAAAAATATATATAGATTTGATACGATTTATGTTTTAAGTTACTTTATAATATTATGGTAACTTAAATATTATTGGATAATTCACTAATAAATAATGGGATGTATATAATTTATTTTTTTTAATAAGGATATACATAAATTATAGACGTATCATGTTTTAGGTTACCATATAATATAATGGTAACTTAAGTATTATTAGATAATCTGCTAATAAATAATGTGATGTATATAATTTGTTTAATAAGAATATATTAGGTTATCTTATAATATTATGGTAATTTAAGTATTATCAGATAATCTGTTAATAAATAATGGGATGTATATAATTTATTTATCTAATAAGGATATATATAAATTATATTGTTACGTTACTTTTTTTATATTTTAATTTTTCTTTATTAAGTTGACTTGGAATGAAATTAGGATTGGGGTTAATTTTCTTTAGCTTATATATACATAAGTATAAGTCTGTTGGAGGCTTCAAAAAAATATAGTACGTGATTTTATATTAGAGAGAGAGTTAGAGAGAGAAGGAAGAAGAGGAAGGAAGGAGGAGAAAACCCTTTAGAGAAGAGGATTTAGGAAGAAGAAGTTTAACTTTCAATCTGAAAGTTTAAGGCAAGTTCTTCTTCTATCTTTTTCCCTTTGATTCGTGTTTCTGTACATGCCTAGGAAATTCCAGGATTTATTAAACACATAAAATTAAATAATTATACATGTTTAATTGAATTAGAACATAAGTTTTATGAAATTGGTTCATATCTGTTCTTGTGTTATGAATTGATAAATGCATGATTTTGATTTGATTTCTGGTGTGAATTTTTACATGTTTAAATTATGTATTTTTTATTTCTGTGGAATGATGGAACGTAGAAACATGCTTATGATTCCTGAACATTAAATAGGGACTAGGTTTTGGTTTAAATAAATTTAAATAGACTCAATCATAATGATGCTTGCTATTTGAATGTTTTAAACAAACGAATGGATTTAATCTTTTAAAATGTTTTAGCAATTAAGATTAAATGTGTAGGATGAATTAGATATGGAGAATGCTTATTTGACGGTATAATAAAATATCATGTATAAGATTCAGTTTGTGTAGGACATATGATATAGGAAGTTTAAATAAATAATAAGTCATTCTTATTTTGTGATAATTTGATATCATATTATCATAGTTATTTTTGGATTGTTTGATGTATTTCATTAATTGTTACATCAATTATTAGATTGTGTGGTTTAATGCACCGGTATGGGACGATGGCATTCTAGAGACGGATTAACTTATCAGTTAAGTCCTACCTATTTTATATAAGAGAATTGATTAATTAAAATGTTAAGTCCTACTTATATTCAAGTCAGGTCAGCTGAACAAGTTGAATGACTTGTGGATGATTAATTTATTATATAAGGGAATGGATTAATTAAAATGTTAAGTCTTACTTATATTCAAGTCAAGTCAGCTGAACAAGTTGAATGAGTTGTGGATGATTAATTTATGCTAGATAAGATGGTTACTAGATTATATATATAGGTATGGTGCCATGATATGAGCTTGAGTCTCAGGATCAGTGGTTAGGGTGCGTATATCGCCAGGGATGTGTAGCTAGATATAGTGTAGTTGTGTACCCTGGTAGGTCTAGGTACTCATGCCCCACTATATGTGCGTTTTGCATATTGCCTACTATTCAGGTTGAGACGACCCTATAGTGTAGTGAGGTTCCTTTAGTGTGTGTGTATATATATATATATATACGGACTACTAGTTATTATTGGATTGATTAGGATGTATACGTGTATCGAATCTCTGCTTGGACTGTAGGAGAGTAGAACTTGTTTGTGAGCCTGACCCACCATTATTTTTCAGGTGTTCGTCAGGAGTAGATATTAATCGTGCTGAGTAGGGATCAATCTACTTCACTCTTCCGGTTTATCTACATAGGAGTTCCTTTATGATTCAGTTTCCTGATTTAGACAGTTATTCCTGTCATTTGTTTAGTTTGGATTTTCTAGGGGTCCACACAATATGGATTCCTGAGTTGTATTTTGGAGGATCAGTTATATCAGAAGAGTTTATTAATTAATGGAAATATATTCTGAGGTTTATTATTGGATTGTTATTTTAGTTTCTTGTCAGCATTTTATTTATTCTTCTTTATTCTTTTGTACTCTGTGTTCGTTTATTATCGATTTGCTTTGATATCCCCGGGTATTCGGGCATGGGCCTGACCAACTCGCATTCGGAAATGCGGGGGTATCACAGTTGGTATCAGAGCACTCCAGGTTCAAGTGTCCTTAGGAGTGTCTTTCGTTATGTGACTTCCGCGTTACGTCTCTTAAAACTCAGAGCCCATATTAGGATTCGTTATACTCTATTTACGGTTCATTAGGAGGAGCTGATGTCAATTATATTCTGTAGTTACAGAATGGTTGGCACTGGGAAGAGGATGGGATCGATGGTTTAGGTTCGTTTGGCGTTACTTTAAAGTATAAGCCAAGGAAGGATTAGGTGTACGTGGTAGGTCACTGCATATCGGGGCCAACACGACTTCAGTTGATCTTAAAAAAGGAGACAAGCGAGGAGTAGGAGTCTGAAGAGGATCCTAATGGAGGAGATTTCAGCGTATCCAAGAGAGAGGGTACTAAATCTTGAAGATGGATGATGATGGTGATCTGATTTGTTGGTAGTATAGCAAATGATATTAGTAGAATTGGGGTTGATCAATCTACAAATGGTTAAACTTTCTTGTCATCCTTTAAAGGAGATATATAAGAGGTACTCTTCAGGAGTTTGGGGATCGGATGGAGTTCTTATCAGAACGAAGTAATGATTTTATATCACATACATGAGAACATTGGTATTACGTTGGGATGTTCTAAGTTGCTTTATAAAGCTAAGTTAGACTGTTTACATTCTGCGTATACGGAGGATGAAGGTTAAGCCCTTAGTATTTGCTTAGGCAAACATATGTTGCTCTTAAGCTATATTTAAGGGATATGTTTCGAGGTTGAATGATTACCTATGAAACTATAAAAGGAAATTTGAAACAATCTGGTAAGGTTGATTTCAAAGGCGACTTTCTTT